TTGGTCTACTTAGACTGAGGCTGAATCTGCTTCCTCCTGACACCAAGGTGCATAACTTTATAAATACGTCTCCCAGAATGTACTGGCTTCTGTCAGTCTCTATTTGTAGGCCAGAGATTTGATAGGATTCTCTGGTATTAGCAGGGTGCCTGATTCACCTTTCATGGGGTATTTTGGTTCCAATTACCCCACAGACATTGAACTGTTCTCCTAGACCCAGACACCAACTGGCCTGTGGTTTCAGCCTGCTCATTGCTTTGTGTTTCTGTCCTGTGTTCGGGTCTAGAGAGATCTTTGTCTAGTTTGAGGGGAGAGATATTCCTTTATTATTTATTAATATATCTAATATTTTGATATTTTCACATATTGCTTATGTGTGTCTGGAGATAGTGACTGAAAGAAATACGGTGCAGGAGGGGGACTTGCAAGCGTTTGAAATCACAATGCCATCTTAGCCTACAAAGGAGACATACTGAAGAAGGCCCATTTGAACTGGGCCGGAGACCGTGGATTGCAAGAGATAAAGGACTAGGGGCCAACCTGCAGAAGGGCATGAGCTCCTCTTCGGATGAAGAAACATGTAAGATTTGTCAGAGAGGGCAAACATTTGTCAGAGAGGGCAAATAGGTTGATTTATTTGATAGCATGTGTGTGCGTGCGTGCGTGTGTGTGTGTGTGTGTGTGTGTGTGTGTAAGGGGGTTAGGGTTAGAAATTTTAGGTTAAAAAGGGAGACAAGAGCAAAAATCAAAACTCCAAGAATTTAAATGACCTACCCAAGGTCTTTGGGCTCTGTCCCCCTCAAGGCACTTAATTTTAATAAAACCACAGTAAACTCATAGTGGAGGGCAGACAGCACACAAAAAGAAAGGAGGAGGAAGAAGAGAGGGGAAAGCAGAGGAGGATGAGGAAGAAGTGGAAGGCAAAAAACAACAAGAAGGAGGAATATAAAGAGGAGGAGGGAGCCCTGGTCAGTTTGGCTCAGCAGTTGGAGTGTTGGCCTGCAGACCAGAGAGTCCTGGGTTTGGTTCCCGCTAGGGGCATGTACCAAAACAAAAAAGGAAGAAGAGGGAGAAAGGAAGAGGGGAGAGGGGACGGGGCAGGGAGGAGGAGGAGGAGGAGGCAGTATTCTTTCCACAGGGACTTTATCTTTCAGTTCTGAATGAATGACATTCATATATAGCATAATATACAAATTTGATTCTTAGGATTTTCTACAAAGCACCATATGGTGATAAGTAAAAATGAAATAAAACATGGAGGGGAATCTACTGGGGGAATAAGATGGAAAAGAAGGACCACTGGACATGACTGAAGAGCAGCTACTCCAACCTCTTTATTTTATAGGAGAAAAAATTTAGATGTAGAGAGACTCCGTGACCTGCTTGAGGCCACATGAATGCAGACACAAGACTAGCACCCCAGGCTCCTAACATTTGTGCAGTTTTCTCCTCATTTCCTTCCCAGGGAGGAGTGAGCTTGATTGAGAAATACTCACTGGCTCAGATACATTTTGAGCCAAATAAAAGGAAGCAACAATTTCGGTTCTTGCTAATGTAAATTTTGTAGATACTATTTGGTGGGTCTGATTATTTGAAATCTCTTTTGAGCAAATAAAATGCATTTTATAGGAAAATGGCATCATTGACAGAAGGAAAGAGAAGTCTTCTTGGGATAAAAATTTGATGGCAGGAAGCCATCACTGGTCACAGAGGATTATTACAGTAATGAGTGAGGACAGAACAGTAAGGCAGTCTGAGTGGTTTCTTAGACCATTGGATGCTGACATTCCCAATTTGGCTGTTGACCTCTGAAACTGTTCTCCTAAAAAAGCAAATTAACTTCAAAACTAAATCATGTTTTTCCCTCAAACATAAACTTAAAGCATAGATATGGCATTCTTTTTCCCTTCTGATCAAAAGCTAACCTTCACTTCAAAGCCTTGAGTATTGGATTCTGACATTTTATTAAACTTTGGTTTGGTTTATAAAGGAGACACCTTAGGAGACACTAATAAAATAAAGAAATTTATTGCTCTATCCTATCGTGCTGATTTCTAGATATAGTGTATGATCTTTTCATTGGAAAGATTGTGATTTCTTTTGCAATTTTTAAAGTTATTTTTTAAAAAAGTGTAGATCTTTTAAGTTAGTAATTCTCTTTCAAGGAAACAATGCAAAGGAATCAGAAAGTCAGATTAATATATAGATATACTCATTACTTAATCGTCTATCATCATAAGAATATATCAATTTAAAAGTCAAACAATATTTGAAACCCATATAATCTTATTAAACAATGTCACCCCAAAACATTTAATTTTTTAAAAAGAAAAAAAGTCAAACAATAGTAGAATAATAAAATCATTATATATACATACACTGGAATATTAGGTACTACTGAATTCATATTTCAAAGAACATTTAAGGACATGGGCCAATATCTCCTACAAAATGTAAGTTCCTTGAGAGCAGAGGCCAGATCTGAGTTTGCTCTACGTTTTGTCAATTTCTAGCACAATGGCTCAATAAATATTTGTTGGATAAATGAATGAGTGGATAAAAATATTAAATTAAAACAAGAAAGAAAAATTTAAATCTATGTATATATTGTAAATTATGCTATTCTCAACTACAAGACTCCAAAAAGATACCATCACTATTATTACAAACAAAAGCAATATCACCAAAAGCATTTCTTTCTTGTGGCTTTATATCATGTAAACATAATTAAAATGTGTTTGCTTTTGGAAGCAGAAATATGTTTCTTGGATGCTCATGTAGAGTTTGGTGCATATAAGTTGAGAGTAAAACAAAAGATAAACAGTTTCTATTCCAATCAATTTTTCTCCTGTAATTCTATGATATTGAACATTATTTTTCAAAATTTGTTCTTTGTTGCCATAGTGATCAGCTCCCAATGTGAAATTATATCACACTGGCTTTCTTTCAAGTTTCAATAATGTGCCGTCACCACCCACTTCTCTTTCAAAATGTTCAAATCCTCTAATCACTCAGTACCTTAATAGCCTCGCTTTGGGGAAGCTGAAGACGGAGCTGGGGGTTAGGAAAGGGTTAGATGCAGAGAGTAGGAGTAAAGTAAAGAGAAAGAAAGTACAATTTGAAAATAAATTAATTTGCCATATAAAATAAGCTTTCACCTCCACATAGCAATCTACTCTTGCCAACATACCTTCAACTTTTATTTTATAAATGATATGCTATTGGGTGAATGGAGCCTTAACTGAAAATGAGAACAAAGGTGTATGGATTTACAGATTATTAGAATTTACAGATTAGAATTTACAGGTTATTCTTAATAAAGAAAGAGTCTTTACAAAGCAATAAGTACATTTTTTTTCCCAACAGAAGAATGAGGAAAAGTTATAGACAGGCACTTCACAAAAGAAAATAATAAAATAGTCAATAAACACATAAAAGATGTTTAACATTGCTAGTAGTTAAAGAAATAATAATTACCCAAGATGCCATCTTTATCCTGGTGAGTGGTAAAAACTGTAAAAGATGACAATGCCGATATAACTAGAGTTCAGAGAAATGGACATTCTTACACACTGTGGCAAGAATGTGAATGGATACAGCCCTTCTGAATATCTTTTGAATTCAAATTCCCACTTCCAGGAATTTATGCAAAGAGGAGAGAAATAGAGAAATGGAGATATATATATTCACAAAGATGGATATACAATGATATTCATCTCAGTTTTGGTTTCATACAATACATGGAATCAAGCTCAATATCCTTCCATAGGGAATAGTTACATAAAGTATGACAATCGTGTAATGGAGTGTTCTGAAGCCACTGGAAATGATGATGTCTATCTGTATTTCTTGATGTGAAGAGCTCTCATATTGAAAGGTATCCATGTAACACGTAGTGGGGGGGGGGGGGGAGGGAGCAAAAGAATTTGGAAATCTTCTGAAAATACCCTAGGGAGAAATAAGTGTGTTTGAAAAACAGGTCTAGGTCCTGCTACACCTGTTTTCAAGGGATTTTTAGTTTATAAATGTCTGTATATATGAATATTTATAATTGGCAAGTTGAAATAAGGAAAAACAAACAGAGATGTTTTCATTTTTGTTGCACACTAAGTTCCTTACAGAATTTGAAACATAATTCCCCAGACACATACCACCATTTGGACTGAAATGGACCCTGGAAGTCAGATAACTCTAAAAGAAAGTGGAGATTCCTGGCACATATCTGTTACTCCGCAGTAGTTGTTAACTAAGAACCTGGCTTTCGTCCCCTCATTGTACAGTACAGGAAGCCCAGCTCAGAAGGGTGAAGATGCTCACCCAAGGTCTCTCGTGAGCCCGGTCCATGTGGCTCAGTGGTTGAGCATTGACCCATGCGCTGTGTGCCCAGGTTGTGGGCCTGATCCTCAGGGGGGCGTGCAGGAGGCAGTCAATCGATGTTCTCTCTCATGGATGTTTCAATCTCTCTCCCTCTCCCTTCCTCTGTCTCTAAAATCAATAAAGAAAAAAAAAAATTTTTTTTTTAAATGTCCCTCTTGAATGAGGGAGGAGTTTTGGTTTCCTGACTGGGTGTCTGGGTTTTCCCACTCGAACATGCCATCACCACTGTGCAAACTCACTGTCACCTCCTGCCGCTCAGGTGACTGCCTATTTTGTGAAGGCAAATGTGTTATTGTTGTTTTTAATGGTTGACAAATCTTGAGCAAAGAAAGAAACAGAGCAAGGCTCAGTGAGCTGAGTTTACATGGAAATTATAGGCTGTGCTGCTGTTTGCTAAGAGTTTGGAACTAATTACAAGGTATTCCCCAAACAACACTTCTTTGGGCGTCATATGCTTTTCTGGAGATTTCCTGCAGATGACTGCTGGCCAAGGGCATTTCCTCCGTGAAAATCCAAACAGTGCTTGTTTATGCGTATGTTCCAGTGTAAGATTTCCAGAAATCTTTCTAGAAACCAAAGACCTAACTGGATGTGTTTTCCCTCACTACTGACCTGCCCACGTGATGACCTGTCCTGCTGAGGCGGCCAGTCTGCGGCTGTACATCTCCACTCCCACACTCAGGATCCAGCCCCCGGCAGGCGAAGGTCTGCCCACCACCAACACAGGAAATTAGTATAAGTGGGGTCATATAAATGAGAAAAACACGTATTTCTCTGAGTCTAGATCCGACCTGTTCTAGAACACTGAAAAGTGTTGCAGGTGATGTCTGGGTGTCCCTGGCTGGTGGCTCATCTGGGATCCCAGACCTGACCTCAGCTATATCCCTCTAGGAGGGGTGGGTGGGCACCCTCACATTCTTCCTCTCTTCCAAGTCTCTTCTTTGATGCTCTCTGCCCTCCAAGACCCTCACCTTCCTGCCAGCAACCACTAGAGGAAGATCAAAGTCCATTCTCTGGCTTTCTCTGGATGCTTCCAAGCATATCAAGCTTTAATGACAGTCAATGATGTCTCTGAAGACGGGGGAGAAAGCATCGCTGACTCTAAGCCATATTTTGTCACCAGTTGCTGAAGGAAACTGAGCCTCTCACCAGTGACTCCACCAGATCCAGAAAGGTGGGGGCTGGGCAGGTACCAGAGCACCCTCCCCATATCTCTATATCTCCCCAGGAATCTTCCTCACCTCTCCTGCAACAACAATAAAAAAACGGGCTCGATGAAGGTCAGCTCATGAAAATCATTTCTTAAAAATCCACCTCCAGCCCTGGCCGGTTTGGCTCAGCGGTTAGAGCGTCCACCTGCGGTCCGGAGAGACCCAGGTTCGGTTCCCGCTAAGGGCATGTACCTTGGTTGCAGTTTGTCCCCGGCCCTGGTTGGTCGTGTGGGTGGCAGCCACTCGATGTGTCCCTTTCACATCGATGTTTCCCTCTCTCTCTCTTCCTCTCTCTCCCTCCCACTCTGTCTGTGCGAAAAATGGAAAAATTGTCCTCGGGTGAAGATAAAAAAAAAAAAAAAAAAAAAAAAATCCACCTCCAGCTCTTTATCCAGGTCTGATGTTGAAATGGGCTCAAGTAAGGATCTTGGCTACACCCATTTCCCTTGTCATTTTATATTCCAAAGCAAAAGCCTGTTTTGAAAGAATAAAACCAGTCTGCATGGTGATAAAAGAAATTTAGCATCTGACTTTCCTAAAAAATGGTCTATCGATTCAGCTCAAATCCACTGGGAAAGAAATGCAAAGCCAAACAACACCTAAACATGGATGTGAAAACCAAGGAAGATTCAAGAACCAAACAATGAAAATGTTTCCTTTGGGTTCAAATGTGTCATTTCTGTCAGATCAGATAAAATCACTGTTTAGACAGCTCTTTAAAAGTTAGCAACACTTCAACCTTAATTTTATTTCACGTTTCAAAGTGAACTTAAAAAATGTCTTACAGCCCTGGCCGGTTTGGCTCAGCGGTTAGAGCGTCGGCCTGCGGTCCTGAGAGACCCGGGTTCGGTTCCCACTAAGGGCGTGTACCTCGGTTGCAGTTTGTCCCCAGCCCTGGTCGGTTGTGCGGGTGGCAGCCACTCGATGTGTCCCTTTCACATCGATGTTTCTCTCTCTCTCTCTGTTCCTCTCTCTCCCTCCCACTCTACCTGAACAAAAAATGGAAAAATGTCCTCGGGGGAGGATTAAAAAAAAAAAAAAATGTCTTACATGACTTCCATGAATAGACTAAAACACTAAACATCATGCAGTGGCTGAAAGGGATGATCAGACTTCATTTCTATAATATATGGCTGGGCCTGCGGGGACGCGCTCAGATCAATCTCAAACGTCAGAGATTACCTGCACAAACATGCAAAATTTAGCATCGCTGAATTTGACCACTCAGACGTAAATGCAACTGTTCTCAGAAAAGATCAATGTTTATAGCCTTAAATTCATTCAATATTTAGTTTAAATGCAAGCTGGTTTATGCCTCAAGCCAAGGCCTGACATTTCAGGATTTTTTTTTTTGTAATCCTTGACAGCCCAGCCCAGCCCAGCAAAAAACATGATACAAATTCCAGGTGCCAGGAAGATTTCAGGGCTGCAACCACAGGACCTCATGACCAGGGGTCCAGGAATAAGGTAGGAAGGCAGGCTTAGATACCTGACCTAGTCCTGGGAAGCCAGCTTCCTGGCAACACCAGCCTCCTGATTGGTTTCTCTGCCTGTCCTTCACCCTCTCTAGTGGGTCTCTATGGGGCTGTCAGGGCCAGCCTTCCAGGGGGCAAAGGCAGGAAACATTCAATTCATCATCCATTCAAGGCCAAAATAAACACTTAGGAAGACATTGTGAAAGAGCAGAGCAGATATAATGGGTTGAAAATGAGAAGCAAAACCCAAACAAAAAGCACAAGTAATTCTAGATCCAACTCTTACATTGTTTCTTTAACTGGTTTTTGTTTTATTATCTTGCATTTCAAATGCCATGCACACTTAGCACAGAAAATAGGGATAAGCAATAGAACATCTTTATATTTAGACTTGTATCCCCTGGAGTGGTATATTTATACCTGTCTTTCAAGGTTCTTCCTTCTGGTGGGCACACATACATATAGATAATATTTTTACAAAACTGGCCACCTGAAGCATGTGCTGTTTTGTTACGCACGATAGCTTAGGTCAGTGGTTCTCAAACTTGGCTGTGTATTATAATCACATGGGGAGGTTTTTAATACCTTGGTAGACAGCCCTTACTTCCTATAACTAAATTAGAATTTCTAGGATAGAATCAGATATAAGTATTTTTTTTTAAAACTTCCTAATGTATCCAAGGCACAAACAAGTTTGAGGAAAACAATCTTGTGAAAGGTAGCAGACCATGTCACTCCAAAATATACATATGCATCCTTGACATAAGGATTATTTTGGGAAACTGCAGACACAGGAGAAGCTCTGAAAACAGAGTAGACTCTTAACTAAGGAGCATTTGCATTTATAAGGGAAATCTCCATTTGTAGAAGATTTGGGGCTGTCAACAATGAAAAAAAAAATAAAAATCCCTCTCCATACCAGAAAGAATAGGATGACTCTGAAGCTCCAGGAACTCTTATCAATGGAGAAGTCACCACTTAAATCTGCATCAACTTTACCTTTGTTTGCTGTGCTTTGCCTGGTAACTTCCTATAACTGGCCTCCCCACCCCAACATTTTTTTTTTTTGTCTTGAGCTGAAGATCATATTTAAGGTGGTGCTTGGGCCATTTTAGGGAGAGTGACCAAGTTTTCCTGGGTATCTCCCATGTATCCAAGAAGTACGTACTACCAAACTTCTATTTGTTTTTCTCTTATTAATCTCTTTTATTACAGGGCAACTCAGTTAAGAACCTAGAAGGGTGGAGGAAAGATTATTTTTCCTCCCCTACACTTGCATAAAGAACTGGGAGTGAGAAGATTAGGTTTTGGGGGGAGGGAGGGCAGAGGTTGTATCAGGATCACCTGGGAAATTTGGTGAAGATGCATAGTCCTAGGTTCTCTCTCCTACTTCCATGAGCCTTGGATGTTGTGTTCTTTATTAGTTCTCTAGACAATTCACATACACACCAACTCAGAGAACCACCAGTGTAGGTGACCAATCTCCTATTGTGTGATCACCTCTTAGGTGACCTTCCACTTTCTCATGCCCACTAGACTAAGCTTCAGGAGCTGGTCTGTTCTCTAGCCACACGGGGCTATTGAGCACTTGAATTGTAGCTAGTTCAAATTGAGAGGTGCTGCAAATGTAAAATGAACACTGGATTTCAAAGATTTAGTGCACATTGAAACCATAGTATTTTGTCTATATTGGGTTCCTTTCTTTTCCTCCCCCACCCAATGTGACTACTAAGAAATTTAAATTGCACACGTGGGTCGCTTTATACTTCTATGGAACAGACTGCTCTAGGGAACAGGATCTACGTCTGTTCGTTACTGTCTTTCCAGCACCCAGCTCAGTGATTTGGCCTCAGATAGGCACTCCATCAATATTGTTTTGAAAATGAGTTAATGAATTAATGAATGAACACAGACATGGCATGCCAGGCATTCACAGTATTATTCCACAGACAAAGGAAAACTTTTGGAAAATAGATCCTATTCTGGTTTGAATTCCCCTGAAGGAGTCCCTGAGACAAGGATCCAAGTGTAAGCCATCTATTAGGGAGGGGGTCCCAAAAACACTCGTCAGAGGAGAAGTAAAGGAGGGAAGGGAAGGAGGCCAATAAAGGGTGTTTTCTCGAGCCAGTTCCCACTGTTGGCAACTGGAGCTTAATCCTGCTGGGGAACTTTAACCTGTTAACTCGGGAATTCCCTTTTCACTGTATGCAACATTTGATGTATTTATGTCCCACTCAGTTAACAGGTTAAGGAACGGGACAGAATTTTTGCTTCAGAGTTATCTTCTTCCACCAAGGTGAGGGAGTCAGGGTGGTTACACACCATTTCCCATAAAGGCTTCTGGGAGGGCTGCCTGTGTTACTCCCAGGCTCTTCTATCCTGCTGTGCAGAGCACCCAGAGAAAGCCTGCAAGCAGAGATATCAGTGCTGGAAGATAGCATGTGTTAAAATGGTATGACTGAGGGGACAGGGGGTCAGCCGGTGACAACTAACTATAATTTCTTTCTAAACAAGCCTATTTAATCCTATCACCTAGTAATTAAAATTGAGGCCACCATCACACAGCTCTACACATCTCCCAAGGTAGTCAGTAACACCCCTTCATGGTCCTTTGCCATCTCCTTCCTTGTGGACCCCACTTCTTCCTCTTCCATCCTATCCTCGGGTGCCAAACAGGCATGGCGCAGAGGCTCTCAGTAACAGCTCGATGTGGCTAGATTAAGAGTTGGCCATGCCCTGGTCAGTTTGGCTCAGTGGTAAGGGCGTTGTCCCGTGGACCAGAGAGACCCAGGTTCGGTTCCTGCTAAGGGCACGTACCTCAGTTGCAGTTTGCCCCTGGCCCCAGTTGGGGTCGTGTGGGTGGCAGCCAGTTGATGTGACTCTCTCACATCGATGTTTCTCTCTCTCTCTTCTTCCCTCTCTCCCTCCCACTCTATCTGAAGCTAAATGCAAAAGTGTCCTCGGGTGAGGATAAAAAATTAAAAAAAGAGTTGGCCAAAACATTAAAAATGGAATTGCCATTTGACCCAGTAATCCCACTTCTAAGAATATATCCTAAGAAGCCTGAAACACCAATCAGAAAGAATATATGCACCCCTATGTTCATAACAGTACTATTTACAGTAGCTAATATCTGGAAACAGCCCAAGTGCCATCAGTAGACAAGTGGATAAAAAAGCTGTGGTATGTTTACACAATGGAATACTATGCAGCTATATGAAAGAAAGATCTCTTACGCTTTGAGAGGACATGGAGGGTCCTGGAGAGTATTATGCTAAGTGAAATAAGCCAGTCAGAGAAAGACAAGTATCACAGGATCTCACTTATTTGTGGAATATAATGAACAAAATAAGCTGATGAGCAAAATAGATCTAGAGACATGAAAGTAGGGAGCAGACTGACAAACCTCAGAGGAAGGGGGTTGGGGCCAGGAAGAGATAAACCAAAGAACTTACATGCATATATGCACAACCAATGGACATAGACAACAGTATGGAGGGGTGTGTCAATGAGAGAAAAAAGGAGGGACATCTGTAATACTTTCAACAATAAAGAAAAAAATCAATGGAAAAATATCCTCAGGTGAGGAGTAACAAAAATATATATAAAAAATAAAAACAGAGTTGTCCAAGTTGAAGGATTTGAAGAGCTCGGGCAGACCTGGTCTCCTCCCAGGCCTGCGCTCATCAAGAAGACGCCGTGTTCGGGTCCCACGCCAGATCGTGAAGCCCAAGGTGAGAGGTCAGACCTGTGCAAGTCTGGCACGGCCCAGGCTCTGCTGGCGATAAACTCGGACTTCAAGGCCCAGCTCCCGGGGCTGAACATCACGGCAGCTAAGGATGAAGACGCTGGTGGTGTGGGAAAGCTTATCTTCGTTGTTCCTGTTCCTCAATGTGTCTTTCCCGAAGATCCAAGTCCGGCTGGTACTGAGTTGGAGAAAAAGTTTAGCGAGAAGGTCGTTGTCCATCACTCAGTTTCTGCCTCAGCCAACTCGAAAAAGCCGCAAAAGACAGAGAAAGCGTCCCAGGAGCCGCACTCTGGCCGCCACCCACGCGATCCCGGGGGACCCGATTTCCCCCGAGAGAAACTGGGCAAGAGCGCGGGCAGGGCCCTGGGCGGCCGCCGGCTGGCCGAGTTCACTACGGGACAGGCGCCGCGGGACAACGCGGAGCGCAAGGCTGAAACCTTGTCTGGTGTCTGCAAGAAGCAAGGATGTTGGTTTTGAATTCCCAGAGTTTCCGTTGTAAACAAAAATGACTAAGTAAAATATCGTTTTCCAAAAACAAGACTTGCCCGACTTCTCTGTGCCTGAGTCCACGGCTCCACCCTCCATCGCCTGTTAGCTCACCCTCCGCAGATGTTCGTGGGCTGTTTTCTTTCTTCGGGTTTTTTTATGATGATGCAATCACATTCTTGTCTTTGACTTGTCCACAGCGCATGCACCCGGGCCTGAAACGGTAGCAACTGAGTGTTTTCATGAAGAATCTCCAATTTCTAGTTTCAGAAAATATAACTTCACTCTGTATTAAATCATTCCCAGACACCAAACCATAGTAGTTCCGTGTTGGGAGGTTAATTCAGTCTAGTTCTAATTTGCAATGAATCAGGAGAAGCTTCAGAATAATTTCCTAAGCACAGTGGAGCAAGGCAAATAAGAGATGTTGAAAATAAACTGAAAATGAGAAATGGCTGTTCTAAAGGGAATTGGATTCAAAGTACTCCCAAGTTTTTTCAGTAATTTCAAACCTACTTGATACCATAAAAATATGTCTGTGTTTTCCCAAACAGTTTATTTCAGTCAAGACATGGTCTTCATTGGGAAGACTTGGGCCAAGCCACTGTCACACCCTGTCTAGCTGTAAGTTTATGTTCAAGGTCCTGTCCCCAGTCTAACATTCTAGTGTTTATTTCCCCACTCTGGAATTCAGGTAGTATAAAAATTTAGGTTATTTAATTAGAGTGTCATTATAAACAATTAGGTTATTTAATTTAAATAGATGATAAATGATTTTATAAATGCTGCAAATAGCCTGGCTGGTGTGGCTCAGTGATTGAGCATCGACCCATGCACCAAGAGGTCGCTGGTTCGATTCCTGGTCAGGGCACATGCCCAGGTTGAGGGGCATGCAGGAGGCAGCCAGTCAATGTTCTCTGTGATCGATGTTTCTATCTCTCTCTCCCTTTCCCTTCCACTCTCTCTAAAAATCAATAAAGAAAAAAACTTTCTTTAAATAAATAAATAAAAATAAATTCTGCAAATAGTTGAGCCACCAAAAATTTATAAATAAAACTGAATATTTCAATAAAAACAATACAAATTTAAAGGATCCCACAATTCACTCTTCCTTCCTAACAAACATATATGAAGCTTCAAGGGTTGACAAACACAGATGTCTACAGTCAGGTATATTGGATAACAGCCCTGTCTGGATAAACAGCCCCCACGAAGCTCTACCCAATTGTTGTCATAAAGAAATATGAGCTTTGTGTTTTCAAAGATACTGATTTTGCAAGAGAAACCGAATTCCCAAACTTTTATGAGAAATATTCTTTTTCTCTATGTTGGCAACAAATTTTTTTAAAAAAAGTTTTAAATACTGTTCAGATCCAAGTGAAAAGGGCTGAGCAGGGGGCAGGCATGTTTGTGCCTTGAATCTACCATGGAGCAGGTGCAGTCCTAGGCATTCATGGGGTTGTTACAAAGATCCCTGTGATATGCCCTGCCCTCCTGCAGCTTCCTATGGAGTTCAGTGATGCATACAACTAATATTTTCATACCAAAAAAAAAAAAGGTGGGCATGGGTGGGATGTGTTAGTCAAGGTTCTCCAGGGAAAAGAACACCAATAGGTTCTTCTCTTACTGGCTCTGTATATATATGAGAGAGAGATTTATGATTTATTTTAAGGAAGTGACAAGGGGACTGGCGAGTCTGTAAGTAGGGCAGGCTGGCAGGTTAGAAACTCAGGCAGGATTTGATGCTGTAGTCTTGAGGCAGAATTTCTTCTTTTCCAAGAAACCTCAGTTTTTTCTCTTAAGGCTTTCAACAGACTAGATGAGGTCCACCCACATGATCTAGGGTAATATCCATTACCTGAAGTCAACTGATCATAGATGTTAGCCACATCTACAAATAGAACATGTAGATTTGTATTTGATTGATTAACTGGGTACTATAGTCCAGCCACGTTGACACATAAAACTAACTATCCCATAAGATAAATGCTGTAAGAGAGGTATAAAAAATTACAGGAGTTCAGAGAAGAAAAAATTAAGGAGCATTCAAGGGTTAAAAAATAATCTTCTTGATAAAAGACTAAAGAAATATGAATTTCTCAATAGACAAGACCAAAAATAAATACTATTAAACAATAGTATCCAAGTACATGTTAGTTGTTATTATGCAATATTTCATTTAATCGTCTCAACTCACCCTAATGGGGTATCAACTACCATTATCCCTGCATAAATATGGAGCCACTTTAAAATTTGGACTTGGAGCTGCCATCCGAGAGGAATTGCCTTGCATGACTTATGCCTCAAATGTTTGGAATGTGAAACAGGGCAAAATGACCTTTGGACTGGGCCTAAAGAAACATTATGTCCCAAAGAACTGTTTGCAAAGATAATAAGAAAACATATTTGTGACTACCAGACTTAAAATTAAAATCATTTTTAGAATTAGTGTCACTGTGTTAGCTTACTTGCACCAACAGAAATGCCTTCCTTCTATTGAGGTAATTGTTCCCCTTCCCTTTCTCACAAATCCCCTTGCCTTTGCCTCCTAATCAGAACCATTTGGGTTTCTGCCGGAATCAGTGCTTCCCAAATAGCTCTTCCCTTTTTTTATCTCAAATAAATGCCTGTTGCCTAACTTTGGTCTTTTATCTTTAGGTCAACATCCCCATTTTATAGATGAAGCCCCCAACCTCAATGTCTTTTTTTCCTCTTCGTCTTTATTGATTTTAGAGAGAGAGGAAGGGAGAGGGAGAGAGAGAGAGAAACATCGATGAGAGAGAACATTGATTGGCCACCTCCTGCATGCTCTCCACTGGGGATTTGGCCCACAACCTGGGCATGTGCCCTGACCAGGAATCAAACTGGCAGCCTCTTGGTGCATGGGTCGATGCTCAACCACCGAGCCACACTGGCCGGGCACCTCAGTATCTTTAATATCATACGACTATGAAGTGATGGAGATAGGACTCAGATTCAAGCAACTGAAACGTTCAGAGCCTTAAGCACTATATATATCACGTTTCAAATGAACCCATATCCATACAGACCTCACTGATTCTCACAAAAGCCCCGTGAGATAGGTATTATCATTATTACTCCCTTTTGACGAAGGAGAAAACTCTTGGAGTACAAGGTGGCAGCACAAGTTAGATTCTGGGGTAACTGATTCTGAACATGTGCTTGATCACCTTACACACACTGCACACCTCCCACCTCAGCTCCAATGCAAGGAAGAATGTGTCGAGTGGTCTACTTTATATTCAAATGTGACCAATAAGAGGAGTGGACTTAAATTCAAATGGAAAAAAGTGTTGGTAGAATATTGGAAGTAACCTCATGATTGCCCATCAGGGAAATACACACCTCAACTGGAGAATCATTTCTCCTCAGAGATCCTACTGCTTTCAATATTAATCTCCCTGAAGACCAGAGATAAGGTTACAATTATTGAATGGGGATGTGTATTGAGACTGAATTTGGGTTATTGGTTGGCAAGAATAAAAACATAGCACTTGCCGCTTACACAGAAAACAACAGCAAAGTTGGCTTCTCTTCCATGAAAATATTTCCTTGGCTTTCTCTTCACTACATATTTTTTTAGCAGAAATCAAACATACACTGCAAACCACGCCTTCATTTCGTGAGTAGGGAACAGGCTCATTTCAGTCGAACTTCAAAGGAGCAACCGGGAAACTTTTCTTTCCCAGCCCACTTCGAAACACTCCCACACTATTTTATCCTTTTCCCTCTCACAGTTATTTTTTCCCTCCTCGGAACGTAGAGTATGTGAGAAATCTGTACTATTCTATTTTTGCTGAGGACTGAATTTTGAACTCATAAATTGTCATCAATTCAATTGTTATCCTTTTTCTAGACCATTATATTAGAGTCAATGCCAAGTCTTGCTTCCTCTTATGATCATAATGCCAACATGAGATACAGCATAACGATTTAGCTTTTGTCTAAGACTAAATGATGCCCTTTATTTGTATTATTTTCATTGTAGTTGTATCTCTATAATAGTAATCATCCAGCTTCTCATAATTTTATGTGATGGTTATGATACTACAGATCAAATAATAAAAATAAAATCTATATTCATTGAGCCCCACTATGTGCCAGGCACACATTTAAGCTACACACACATTTAAAACTCATATCAACCCGCCCAGCTGGTGTGGTGCAGTGGTTGAGCGTCAACCCATGCTGGTTTGATTCCCTGTCAGGGCACATGCCCAGGTTGTGGGCCCAGTCCCCAGTGGGGGGCATGCAAGAGACAACCAATCAATGTTCTCTCTCATTGATGTTTCTATCTCGCTTTCCCTCTCTCTTCCTCTCTCTCTAACCTTCACCCAAACCAGTAAGGAAAAAAAAAATTTTAAATAAATAAATAAAATAAAACTCATGTCAATCCTCTAAGGTAGATACTAATTGTTGTCCCCATTTTTTTAATCTTTAATTTTTTTTCAACTACAGTTGACATTCAATATATGTCCCCATTTTTCTAAAGAGAAAATTGAGGTAGAGCGAACATCAGTAATTGCCCGTGTTTATACAGGGATGGAGCTGAGATTCCAAGTGAAGTACCTCACTGCAGAAACCATCTGTGGTTATAACAACATGAACAACTCCCACTAAAAAATAGTGAGGTTTTGTTTTCTTGTTTTACTCTTCCTTCTTGGGAGTTCAAAACAACATTATATGGCAGAACAAATAAACACAGACACTCCAAAGGGAAACACTAGGAATAAGTAGTTGGCTTTATCCAACATTCAAGGAAGATGCCAGCAAAGAGGTGAGCCATGAATCTACTCCTGAGAATAAGCTACCACATGGGAGGTGAAAACTTTCGAGGCCCTTCACCCAAACCACCATACCAAGGATCCTAGTAGGATTTCTCCGAGGTAGCAAACTTTATGAGAAATGATAGACACAGAGCCTGACAACTGTCTTAGTCTCTTTAGGCTGCTGTAACAAAATAGCATAGA